ATCTAGGGGATGAATGGTTGCAAACATGGGCACAATCAGTTCCACCTGATTTCCATAACCTCATAAACATCAATGAGAAGCCCTCAGGGTTTGACTTGCCATTTCAAAGTATGGAAGATGGCTAATAAAATACAAACAGGCTTTGGCAGTTGTGCAGACCTGTTGTTTAAGTGGAGCAAAATATCAGGACATAAATGTGATTGTAGTGCAGCCCACCAAACAATTTCCATTTGTCACAGGAATGTGAGCGTCATGCTTTCCAGGGAGATGTGATGGAGCTTTTTGAACACTCCCCAGCTGTGCTTGGGTGGATTGAAAATGTAGATATTAGTATTTAAGGGAATTGCCCAATTGGTCTGCATACCCCTTGTATCAACTTGGTTCCGTATTTTATATTATATGTTTCCTGTAACTCTGTCATGTGATACATAAAATAAGTTTTATATATTTTAAAAGAGGCAAGAAGGGAAGTAACATATGATGACCTGACCTACTTGTAACACTGAATCTGAGAGGGAGGTTGTGGAGGGTGATAAGCACTTTATATGAGTGGCAAAAGGTGTGCCAAATACTTTTTTTAACTGAATCATGTTTTTTTGGATACTTGACTCCCTCTAATTGGAGAGGAACCATTGACAAAGGCAATAGCCCAACAAGGAAGCCAATCTAAATTCCTCCATATGATATAATACAGTTCTAGAGAGTTTTCTCTTGTGATTATAAAATTTCTGAGAATAAGTATTTATTTCGATTTACATCCCGCCCGCCCTGCCAGCAGGCTCAGGGTGATCACACCAATAATATTACAAAACCATTAAAACACTTATAATAATAAATAAAATAATTACAAACAGGTAGCACAGTAAATTAGGGAAGTACAGCAACCCCAAATGGCTGGAGGCTACCAGGTCATAAACCAAAGGACAGTGGAGATCTTATGAATATGGGCTGTATACAGTTGGAGAGCTTCAGCAAGTGAGGCCTAATAATTGGGCGCCAGCCACCTTAACCAAAGGCCTGGCAGTACAGTTCCAATTTACAGACCCTGTGGAACTGTAACAGGGTGTGCAAGGACCTGATCTCAGACGGGAACATGTTCCACCAGGCTGGGGCCAGGGTGGAAAAGACCCTGACCCTGGTTGAGGCTAAGCAGACGTCCTTTGGGCCATGGACAGCCAGTAAATAATCATCTGCCAAGCACAAGGCTCTCTGGGGCACATATGGGGAGCGGCAGTCCCTCAGATATGTCGGTCCCAGGCCACATAGGGCTTTAAAGATCAATGCCAACACCTTGAAATGGATCCGGTACTCAATCAGTAGCCAGTGCAATTGACGTAGCACTGGCTGAATGTGCACTCGCACAGATGTCACAGTCAGCAGGTGTGCCACCGCATTTTGCACTAACTGGAGTTTCTGGATCAGTTTCAGGGGTAAGTCCACATAAAGCGAGTTATAGTAATCAAGCCTGGAAGTGACCATTGCATGGGTCACCGTAGCCAAGTCCCAGGAAGAGAGATAGGGAACCAGTATATTCTTGCGTGTCTTTGGGCAAGAACTCTTTGTGAGAAAGCTTGCATGTTACACTGGAAATCTGTAATCTTTGATTGGTTCCCCCACTGGGGTGTGTACAGATTGCAATGCTGGGGAGATGGGTTTAACACTTCCCTCCTATTTCCCCTTTTAAATTGTTGTATTGTAACTGTTATACAATACTTACTTTTCAAAAATCAGATATGTACTTTACTACTTTATGGCATCCAGCCCCATCACTCCTTGGCAAATAGAAGGGGAAGTCGTGGAAGTAGTGACAGATCACAGCAGACTGTGACAGGAGCCATGAAATTAAAAGACGCCTGCTCCTTGGGAGGAAGCGATGGCGAACCTAAACAGCATGATAAAAAGTAGAGACATCACCTTGCCAACAAAAGCATGATCAAAGCGATGGTATTCCCAGTAGTCATGTATGGCTGTGAGAGTTGGACTATAAGGAAGGCTGAGCGTCGAAGAATAGATTCTTTTGAACTGTGGTGCTGGAGAAGACTCTTGAGAGTCCCTTGGACTGCAAGAAGATCGAATCAGTCAATCCTAAAAGAAACCAACCCTGACTGTTCCCTGGAAGGCCAGATAATGAAACTGAAGCTCAAATACTTTGGCCACCAAATGAGAAGGTAGCACTCACTGGAGAAGACCCTGATGCTAGGAAAGATTGAAGGTCAAAGAAGACGGGGACGGCAAAGGATGAGATGGTTAGACAGTGTCATAGATGCAAGAAACATGAAATTGAGCAGACTTCAGAGGACGGCGAAAGACAGGAGGGCCTGGCGTGATCTTGTCCATGGGGTCGTGAAGAGTCGGACTTGACTGTGCGACTCAACAACAACAACAACAACTTTACTACTTTAGGAATATAAAATGCAATATATATAGGGCTTTTTTGGGGGGGAATGTGCCAGAATGGAGTATTGAAACCTCTTAATGGAAAGAAAATTCTCAAAAAAATGTTTAAAAGTTCATGAGGGGCACTGGGGGAGCATGCTGTCACTTATGATGTCACAAAATATTAACATTTAAAAAAATAAAATTTAAATGAGGGTTTCAAAGAATCCCATGTGTTTCTCCTTCATTTCCCTATTGAGAGTTCCAGCACCTCTTTTTCCAGAAAAACCTTTAAAAATGTATTAGTTAATACATATGATTGTATTGTTAGCTATATTTATGAAATTTGAAAGCATAAATACCTTAGTTTGATTGAGAAAGGTGGGCTATAAATAAGTATAAATATATTTAGTATTAGCTATGGAGAGCTGGTATAGTAAGTTGCTTAGAATGTCAGACCATGACTCAGCGGACCTGGGTTCCAGTATTTGCTCTGCCACAAATATCATTGGATGGCCTTGAGCTAGCCCTTTTCTCTTACTGTCACAGATTTGTGGGAATACATTTATTTATTAATTTAATACATTCAGCTGTTTTTAGGAAGTACTCAAAGCTGCTCAAAATATTAACACTATTTTTACGCAATCACAAAGCAAATAAATAAAAGATAAAACATAAGAGTCATATAAAAGCAGAATAATTATCCGTTCTGCTAACCATCTTCATATACTTCCCTAAACAGCTCTGCCTTACCAAAAACCAACAAACAAGAAACAAAACAAGAAACCACAGAGTTGGGAGTCTCTTAAACATTTTCATAGTGCAGATTGCACCACATTTTTTTGAGACTAGGCATATTTTACCTCCCTGCACAAGGAAATAGAGATGAGTCATTGATTTGTTCAGTGGGGTTGCTGCACAGGTTCATTTTGGGAGTGATGGCCTTTCAAGAACGTGGGTTCTGGATTATGAAGGGTTTTAAAAGTAAGAACCAGCTGCTCGAATTGAGCTTGGAGGCAAATAATGCTGCCTTGCAGAGGACATTGTAATAGCATAGTGGCTTGGACAAGATAAAAACCAAGCTGCTTTCTTTCGGATCAGCTGAAGTTTGAGCTGTCTTTTAAAGTAATCTCTGTAGTAAGGTGTGGAGGTTATTGTAGGATGGATCACCATGGCCAGGCTGGCTGGGTCTAAGAAAGGCAATAACCTGTAACAGACTCACCCTGTGACCGTACAGTGCCTTCCACAAGATATACCCTTGGTCCCATAGCCACGGTGGGGCATCTTGGGGCCAAGTCACCTTAATTAACAGCCACGCCCCACAAAATGGTATTTCCAAAGTCAAAATACTTTTTAAAAGTCTGAATTTAGCAGCGCTGTGCCGATTCCCACTCCTTTTTCAGCATCCCTGTTTGGTGCTGCCTTCTCCATCTGGCCAGTGCACCTACCTTCTCCTGAACCGGGTTGGCCTCAATGGAAGGTGAGGGGGTCTCAATCCTGGAGGCTCTCGGTGCTGTCCCTGCTTTGCTGTGGTGCCCTGTCGAGCCTACCGCCAAGGGAGCTCCATGGTTTGCCTCCCCTCCTCCCCAAGAAGGGAGCTCCAGTGTTGCCCCCTGGGGAGAGGGCTCTCCATGCAACAGTCTGGAGCCCTGGGTGCACCGCAGCCAGCCCCCACCTTGGTCAGAACTCTTGGAACCCCTGGAAGTTTGGATGGATGAAAGCCTTCCGCAAGGCAGCTGGCAAGGAGCTGATGGTGGTGAGTCCAGCTCCTGTGTCAGAGGAAGGAATTCCCTGCCCCTGGGCTGGGCTGGCTGGGACCGACATGTTGGCCTGGTTGATCAGTGGTGAAACATCTGGGGAAGGGGGCTTGAAAGGGGCCCTTGGACTGGAGTCATTCTCCCATTTGAAAGGGGCCCATGAAATACCACAGAGAGCCTTGGCAGAAGATAGGTATGTGCACTTGACCTCCAGAGCAGGGACATGTTTGGGCCTTTTTATTTTTATGTTATTATTTTTTATTTTGTGGTGTCATGCCCCACCAGTTTCCCCAGTGCCCCCCTCAATTTCCTGGTTACAGTCCTGTATACCTTACCAAAGAGCATAATGTTTTAATTAAATTTAATTAAAACTTAATTAAATTTTAGTTTTCTGAGCATGGCAAAGAAATAGTGGCCTAGATCAGAGACTGTTGTTTCTGAGTTGTACCCTAAGAAATATATAGCTAGCTATGGTCAGTATGTTGATATATTCCATTCTAAAGCTCTGGCTGATCTCATTGATGGTCTTCCATAGATACTAAAAAGCATTGGGGATAATACTGAACCTTGTGGAACCCTACATGTTAAGTCTGTTGTTACAGACTTAAAAGTCTGACCACAATCTATTGAACACAGTCTGACTGCAAAGAGTTAATGTTCTCAAGGGCTCCCCAGTCTGTATTCTTTTTCCTAGTCTTGGTCAACAGTGTTGAAAGTTTCCAAGAGATGAAGAAGTGCTGACAAGAATTTCCCTTGTGGATTTACAGAGATTGTTCACCAGAGTAACCAAAGCTTATCTCTGTTCCATAGCCAGGTCTGAAACCAGACTGAAAAGGATCTAGGACAGATGAATTATCCAGAAGACCGTACAGTTTTTCTGCCACCAACCTTTCAGTTATCTTCACCATGAAAGGTAAGTTTGAAACTGGCCTATATCAGGAGAGGACTTTTTAAACAGACGCTGAATAACACCTCTATCAAAGCTTCCTCATCTTGTCCCTGTGAGATCTTACAATCTAGAAGGATAAAAGTCTGGTCTAAATATGGTGGCCTTTGTTATGCCCGGATCTAAAGCTAAAGCTAAAGCTATCTGTAAACAAAGGGCCAGGTGAACCAAAAGACCAAACACTTATAGTATATGGTCTGTTCCCAAACTGGCATCCTGTTCAAAGTATATTTGAGAGATTTTACCAGCAAAGATGTCATTTATTAAAACTCATTTTGATTCTCCACATTGGGGCTGTCAGCTTCCAGATTATTCTAAATCATTGAGCAGGGTGCAATTCAGCTGACAGAGTGGTAGCAGGAAAGTGTTGCTCCTTTGCCATTATCATTGCCCTCTCATATGCTTTTTTATGTGCTCTACAGTGTGCTCTCTCAGATTCAGCATTTTTTTTGCCCAGTGACACTTCAGACATCTTCCCACCTTCAAATATCCTAACTGCATACTAAAACATGGGGCAAGGATCCCCATGCTGATTCTGTTAAGGCTCTAAAAGTCTTGGAGCCAGTGTAGTTGAAGGACTGCTTCCTCCGATACTGTCTAGTCTGCCAGCTAAGGTCTTCATCACAAGACCTGATCTCTGTCCCCTGCCTTCAGAGACAAACAGCTAAGTGACTAGAGATTTTCCCCCCCCAGCAGTGCCACGTTACACATGGAATGCCTTCTCCTTGAGGCTCACCTAGCACTTACCCTACTCTATTTGAGACACCAGGTTAAAACTTTTCTACCTAGGCCTGTAATCAAGGGGTTGAACTTTTAACATCTTTTTAATAGTCTGCTTCTATCCTGAGAAATGTTTCATGAGACTTGCTTTAAAGTGCTCCAGGCCCATAGCCACTGGTGTATGTGTGTTTGGGGGCAGTGCCCCCCATGGAGGTTGCCAGACCCCTCCCACCTGCCCCCGGTGTGCTGAGCTCCTTATCCTGCCTGCCATGGCCTTGCTGGCTTTTCCTGCTGCTTCCTGCTAAGCTGCAGCAGGAAGAGCCAGTGCGGAGCAGTGAGGCACAGGCACAGTGAGGTGCCGGGGCAGGCCATTCTCTATGCCTCATGTAGTGGTGGAGGCGAGCTAGTGGTTCCACTCCTTTTACTTCTCGAGAGCAAGAGGATGGAGCAGCACCACTAACTCGCCTCCCCGCCATATGAGGCGTAGAGAATGGCCCACCTCCCTTTCCCTCAGCAGCAATGTGGTGGCTGGACTGGCTGGCGCAGGCACAGTGAGGTGCCAGGGTGGGCCATTAGAGAATAGCCTGCAGCCCTGCCTGCCTCCTTGGCTCTTGTTCTCCCTCTCTGTTCTTCCTCCGCAGATGGAGAGAGAGAAGGAGGGTAATGTCAGGGGCCCTCTGCCCCCCTGTCGAAAATGTTCTTGCTGTGGGGCCAAGGTGCTCAGTGTTTCATGCTAGTTTCAGGCTGTTTTTAATAGTTTGTTAATTGTTTACTTTATTATGGTGTTTTATGTTTCTATTATGTTTTACTTTGTAAGTTTCCTCAAGCAGGGTCTCTGGTAGAGGTTTATAAAATTCTGCATGGGGTAGAGAAGTGGATAGGGAGAGCTTTTGCTTCTCCCCATAATTCTAGAGCTGACCTAGCTGAGCTTTGAGAAGTAGCAGGAGACTGAGCTGCTAGAGGGGTGAGTGTTTTTTATTTGCTTTCAGCTGAGGTTATTTAACTGAGGGTACTGTGTGGGAGGACTGTGTTTGGGAGTGTGTAGGTGAGTTTTACGTTGTTCCAGAGTCCTGGCTGCTTGAGAAAGGGTGATTGTCTGTAATTAGATTGCCTGGATGTAATTTAAATAGCTGCTGGCCCCACCCTCTGCTGTGTGAGGCTTCTATTTGAGGCTGCACCTCGCCAGAGGACTCTTGACCTGTAGCTCTTAGCCTAGGGACTCTTAGACTAGGGGTTCTGTAAGAATTTATTTATTTATTTATTTAAATTTCTACCCGGCCCTTCCCACGAATGGGCTCAGGGTGGCTAACAAACAGGGGCACCGTGTGCCAATACATAAAACCAAATAAAACAGGATAAAACAGAATAAATATCGAAATTACATAAAGTGCTCAATGCTGTAGCTCTTAAATTAAGACAAGATGGTGTCCAGTAGATGTTGCCTCCATCCCCGTACAATGGTACCAATCCGCCACGCCACTGAAGTGCGATCGTCATAGGGCCAGTCCATTCCCAGTTATCAGCCGGGTTAGTTGGTGATGGTGGTAGTGGCGGCTCCTAGTCGAAAGCCTGGCGGAAGAGCTCTGTCTTGCAGGCCCTATGGAACTGTACAAGGTCCTGCAGGGCCCTGATCTCCTCTGGGAGCTCATTCCACCAGGTAGGAGCTGCCACTGAGTAGGCCCTGGCCCTGGTTGCAGCAAGCTGGGCCTCCCTGGGGCCTGGAATCACTAGGTGATGTTGTGCCCCAGACCATAGTGCTCTTTGGGGTATATACAGGGAAAGGCAGTCCCTCAGGTATGTTGGACCCTGGCCATATAGGGCTTTAAAGGTAAGAACCAGCACTTTGAAGTGAATCCGGTACGCTATTGGCAGCCAGTGTAGCGCTTTCAGCACAGGCCGGATGTGCTCCCATCTAGGGAGACCCACTAACAGCCTGGCTGCAGCATTCTGCACTAGCTGCAGCTTCCGGAATTGCGACAAAGGGAGCCCCGTGTAGAGAGTGTTAGAGTAGTCTAATCTTGAGGTGACCGTCGCATGGATCACTGTAGCCAGGTCGCCGCAGTCGAGGAAGGGAACCAACTGTCGAATCAGCCTAAGGTGGTAAAAGGCCGACCTGGCAGTGGCTGCCGCCTGGGCCTCCATAGTTAGGGAGGAATCCAGGAGCACTCCCAGACTCCTAACCTCTGGCGCTGGCACCAAAGGCGCCCGATCGAAGGTCAGGAGAGGGATCCCCAACCCCGAACCACCCTGACTCAGGCACAGGTCCTCCGTCTTCACTGGGTTCAGCTTCAGCTGACTCAGTCTGAGCCACCCAGCCACGGCTTGCAAAGCCCAGTTCAGATCTTTTGAGCTGGAGTCCGACCGGCCGCCCAACATCAGATAGAGCTGGGTGTCATCTGCATATTGATGACACCCAAGCCCATACCTCCGGACAATCTGGGAAAGGGGGCGCATATAGATGTTAAACAACATCGGGGAGAGCACCACCCCCTGAGGCATGCTGCATTCAAGCGGGTGTCTTCGGGTCTGCTGCTCCCCTAGCGCCACCCTTTGTCCCCGACCCTGGAGGAAAAAGGCAAGCCATTGAAGGGCTAGCCCTTGTATCCCCACGTCGGTGAGGCAGTGGGTCAGCAACTGGTGGTTGACCGTGTCAAACGCGGCCGACATATCTAACAACAACAGTGCCGCCACTCCACCTCGATCTAGGTGCCTCTGGAGGTCATCAGTAAGGGCAACCAGCACTGTCTCCGTCCCATGTCCCGGGCGAAAACCGGACTGGAGAGGATCTAGGACAGAAGCGTCATCCAGGAAGCTGTATCACCACTGCCCTCTCGATTAATTTGTCCAAATAGGGCAAATTGGACATCAGCCGATAGTTGGCCAGTTCGGTCGGGTCCAAGGTTGGTTTTTTCAGGAGAGGGCGAACCATCGCTTCCTTGAGTGCCTCAGGGAACTGCCCCTCGGAGAGGGACTTGTTGATAATCTCCCTTAAAGCACCTCGAAACCCCTCATGGCCTGCTTTAATGAGCCAAGAAGGGTACGGATCAAGGCTGCACGTGGTTGGACACACAGATACAAGCAATCTGTCAACTTCCTCCAGGCTGAGTGGGATAAAATAATCCAAAACCAGAACTGAAGGCGTGCAAGGGGCCTCGAGTTCACTCACTGTTAAAACTGTGGCAGGGAGGTCACGGCGTAGCGCCAAGACTTTATCTGTGAAATAGCTCGCAAATGCCTCACAGCCAATATCCAGTTCCCCAGCGTTTTGCCTGCCCTGTAGCAGAGTTGTTAAAGACCGAATCGTTCTACACAATTGGGCTGGGCGTGAGCTCACAGATGCAATCCTGGCCGCCTAGAATTTTCTCTTTGCGACCTTGACTGCCATCTCATAGGCTCTCATAAAGGTCCTATAGGATGCTCTTGTTGCCTCATTGCGAGCACGGCGTCACTGTCTCTCTAGCCGTCTCAGCTCTCGCTTCATAAGCCACAGCTCCTGGGAATACCAAGGGGCCTGCCTGGAGCAAGTGCGCAGAGGGTGCCGGGGAGCGATCTCATCAATGGTTGTGAAGAGTCGGCTATGCCAGTCCTCCACAAGTTCATCTAGCGAGCCGCCAGGGGGCTTCGGATCCTGCAGAGCCATCTGAAGCCATACTGGGTCCATTTGGCTCTGCGGGTGAGCTAAAAGCGGTTTGCCCCCTAAACAGGGTCGGGGTGGAACATTCAGATGGGCCTTCAGGGCATAGTGGTCCGACTATGGTACTGCCAATGCAGTAATCCGGCCCAGGAAGGGCCAGAAAGCCAGGGTCCTAGTCTCCTTGTGTTCCCAGTAAGGTAAGTAGACTTCTACAAGGAGAACCACATAAATATGAAGGGTTTTAAAAAGGGGATTATATATAATTATTTTTTAAAAAAGCAATTATGAAGGCAGAGTGTCAGGAGGGGGTTGGGGGCTATCCATTGTTTTGCATGGAGTGTCACATGAATGATTATCTGCACACCGGACGGAAGTCTTGGGTGTGTGCCTGGTGCAAGGACCCCCTGGTTCTCATGGAACAAGTTTGCACCCTTGAGGCCAAGGTGGCTGACCTGGAGAAGCAGAGACAGTCAGTTAGGCGCATGGAGAAGACTCTCGGGGACTTGTTAGATATGTCCCACTCTGAATATGGCAGCCCCACCGCTGTCAGGGAGCATGGGGGTTGAGAGGAAACAGGGCAGCGTACTGAGGATAAGTGGAATGTGCCCTCAGA